GGCTAGCTCCAGCTCCACAACTGTTCACAAGATTCAACAGAGTGAGGCTTGTAAAGTGGAAAGTAGTGAAGCAGTGAAAGTTCAAAATGCAGCTCCCCCCCCCCCGTCGCCGAGCTGAGCCCTAACTGTATAATCTGCAACCAACGGTGACTTTTTTGTTCTCATAATTCAGGGGGATCACGTGGAGACGTCCGAGACGAGGCGATCGGCATCCACCCTTCCTACGATGGGGGGATATCGACCCACTACCCCAGTAAGGAGTGCAACTCAACAGTACGGTGGATCACCTGCAACAGTGCCACGATGGGATTCAAGCAGGAGCAACGACTTGTTTTCTCAGCAGAGTAACGACTTTATGTCGTCAGGAGGACGACAACTTGAACAGATGAACGTGGTTTTCCTCCAGGCGAACGACGAGGTCAAGCGTGCCATCCTACCTCCAGAGGTCAGTTGTGTTCCTGTTTACGAATTTGCTCCCACGAAATGCTACAGACTTTCATAACAGATGACAAGAGCTCGAACTCCGATCCTGATCCCCTATCGAATTTCAGGTACACAGCCTTGACCAGGTGAAAATGGCGTTTGTGCGAGCGTTTCCGAACATTTCGCGTCACTACATCGAGCAGCCATCTGTCAAGATCTACATCCAGGAACCATCAAAGGGACAGCTGTTTTATGAACTCGACGATCCCAGGCATGTCTTTCTGCTGCACTTACTGACACTTTGGGATGCGTTTACGAGCGCTGTGCAACTGGCTATGAGCACAGGGTCCATTTGATGTGTTTGACATCCATTACCTGGAGCTAAAGCTCTGAGGGTTTTCGAGACGTCCAGGGAGTAGATTCCCACTCGGCAACTTGTTGTCTTCTGTGCAGTCAATTGGGAAGTGATGAAACCGAATACGTTCCTTCATCCGTACGATTCTCAATGTCAACAAGGTGATCATATTGTCGTCAGTGAAAAGCACCTGTTTCTCAGGAAATTGTTTGGCTTCAGAGAAGGGAAAGAACGCTTTTTCGGTCAGTGGCTGTTGTTGATGCGTGAAAGTACTCAAAGCCCTTCTTGTGGGGGGGGGGAGGTACGAAGCATCTGATGAGAAGGTTTTTCTTGAATGTCATCATGAAGGATAAAGGATAAAATCTTCGACGTTGATCAATCCCTTTTTGGGATGCGGCACGCATTCTACTTCCATTCAGAATCGTAGTGGCCCACTGAATGCGGTGTGGCCCATACAAGGTTTGCGGGGCCAGCCTAGGTACGAGTCAGTGTTCTTGTCCTCCCAGATAAACGTAGTACCAATTAGCCGTCCCTGGAACTGGGGGCTTGGTTGGCCTGGGCGAGGTCCGCACAGGATTTGATTTCCGTACCGTGCGCGTGGTAAGCGTGCCACTTGCCTACCTAAAGTCTGCTTCATAAGTCATTAGATGTTAATTTGAAGGCAGTGGGCACGATAAGTTGGTTTCCTGCAGGAAATGGAATTGGGGTAAAGTTTGTGATATCGCAGTCAGATCCAACAAAGATTGAATGAGCCCGGACTAGTCTTTCACCGTCGCGCAGACGACTGCGCTCTCTTTCAATGGGGCTATGGCAAATTTCGAATTTACATAACATTGTTCAGTGTTGGCGTTTTCACCCTCACCCTTTACACTTTGTACTCATGGACACGCGTTTAGATAATGGCACACTCGCTTCGTCTCTGCCTCACCCCATTTTTGGGGCATTGTAATTCTTCATTTTTCAAATCATTTTTCACCTGTAAATGCTGCATTGCAAAGCTTCACAGACTCGAAAACTTTCGCCCACTTTGCGCAAGCTCCGCCCGTTTTTGTTGGGTGTCCCGTATTGGCAAGCTAGAGTTTCATTCGTTTCTTGGAATAATCAAAGTTGTGGCGTGAAATAGTGCCGGTGTCGAAGACCAATGCTAATACGTGATTAGAGGGCCAAGTAAGTTAGGTATGCAAGGTAACATCGGTTCTTGTGGAAGAGGAATACGCCAGGTCCATAAGCGATTCATTACAATGAAGAGTTCCGAATAGACTCCAAGGCGACATCGCTAGAGAAAATTCCCGAGAATATTGGTGTAGTAATAACTAGGCGGAAACTTCGCCGATTTGTATCCAAAACATCTCACAAAACAGCGTTCCTCGCTTATTCCTGTTGAACATTCAAAGGGGTTCATATCAGTGATGAGGCTTACGAATGAATGAAATAAAAAACCCACCCATAGAATCACACCGTAGCTCAATGAGGTGCTGCTGGCTCAATATTGTCGCCCAAAAGTAGAAAGTAGACAGTGCTGTTACCTAGCACTTCAGACCTTTTCCTCGCATGAAGTGTGCAGGTTTGCAAGCGACCAGGATGTCTGCCCAAGTGACGTGGAAATGGCGCCGGGAGCTTGTGACGTAGTGTATCTCCACCCTAGGAGCAGGGTTCCAGCCCACTCTAATAACTCGCTACTAATTGATAAGGCAGGATAAGCCGGAAAATGGCAAAAGCCGTTTATGCTGAAAAACTATACAAAGCAAGCAAGCAAGTAATAGGTGACAGAAATCAGGGAAGTCAGGCAAACACGTGAACATGCTTCGATGTGCTCACAGAAAGCTCGGAACTGAAAGCGTCTCAGTCGAGGCATCTTCCCCTTTTCTTCTTTTCTTCTCATCGTACGTTTCATTCAACCCTAAGTTTCACATTTGTACGCCATTATCCTAATTTTGCCATTGCCCCTGTGCATTCAAAAGCATAAGTCACAGCCGGTCGCTCGCAGTGAAGCCACAGCCCCGCTCACTATCCACGAAGACTCCCAACTTTCATTCCTAAAGGCTTACTATGGTGCGTTTGGGCCGCTACCAGCTTCATTTTCAAATGCTGAGTGAGAGAGGTGATATGGAGAAAGAGCTGACACCAGCAAGTGAGAAGCTGTCCGATCAAGCTCTTTCTTTCTTTTATGCACATACAAGCGCGATCAGCATGGGGCTCTGGCTGGGGCTTTTCGGGCGGACTTCGCGTTTTGCTTCACTTTTGTGCCATTTGCCATCTTGTCATTTGTATTTGAGCCGCACTACTCACAATTTTCGAAAGCGGGGAGTGCCTTTAGGCTCTGAGGCTGTGTTACTGTCATGTAAGGTCTTGCTGAAGCCGCTCCAGAGGACCTTTTGCGGTAGACAACTTCACATGCCGCTAGCTCAGGCAACTGCTCCGGTATTTGTCGTGCTTGAGCCTACAAGCGGCGGTTTTCGACGTAGGGGTCAGGGTAGCAGAAATCGCTTGAGTTGGTCAGCATCTCCTCGTCCTGATTAATTCGCGAGGACTCTATACCTGCTCGAGCAAGAGGCAGATTCGAAGAAATTTTCGAATCGTTAGCTGGATTGTTCTTTCGAATACTGCCTTTTTCTTCTTGCTTCTTTTTATGTTGCCCTGATAGTATACGTTTTGTGGCTCATGTTGCTGTCGACGAGGACCACGGCACCTCGCAGAAAAGACTGGTGCACCAGACGAATGAAGACGAGATAGACTTATCTCGCAGGAGGAGAGAATCAGACGAGATAGACTTATCTCGCAGGAGGAGAGAATCAGCAGAGATCCGGCCGTTGTAGTAATATCTATACTTCGAGTAAGCTTGCAGTGAAGTAGTTTGACTCGTTTCGCATGCAGCATGCAAATAGCGACATTACAACTATTATTAGCCATAGCAATGCAGTATGGCGGTGTGGTTGCAAGGGGCACCGCTTACCAAGTGTGTGGTCCGGGAGTCAAATGCCGGATCATCTCCCGCCCTGGTCATCAAAACTTTCCCGTTCCTCCGGAGATGGCGTATTGGTGACAAACTTGCTCAGGAGGGTAAAAGTATTGACTCGTTGCTCGGCTTTCCCAGCAAGTTCTTGTTAATGGGGCCACATTGCATTCATGGAAGTGGAATGCATGGCTCATCGAAAAAATTAAAGTGGTAACCGCTGAAAGCCTTCTCCTTCAAGAGATTCCATTAGCTCTAGTATATAAGGCGAATGCTTTTGGTTCAGTGACATCCGGAACAAATCAGTGCTGAAACTTCGCGAGCATAGCAATGCAGGGATGCAGTCACCGGTTCGATTCCTCGACCAGCCGGACTACCTCTCAGAAACGGAGAACGACGACAGTAGGCAGAGGTGAGTGCTCACCCTTCGGTCGCCATTTAGCCTCAGGATACCTTTCATTGGAACTGGGCTTTGAACCCTGAGCATTGCACTTTCCTTGGAAACCAAGAATTTTTTCAGCGTTGTCTATTTGTCTGCATACTTTATGGCTCCGCTGTTTAGGTTCGTCTCCCTGGCTCGTCCAGCTTCAGCGATGGCTCATACAGACTATCGCAAGAGTTCACGAAAGGGCTTCGAGTCGTTCGACTCATACAGCAGCGATGCGAGCAGCCATGATTCACGATCGGTTACAAGAAGCGGTTCGGCAACACCGGTAATCGACCGGGAATCGAGGTAGGTGTCGCGCGTTCTCTCCTCTTCTGCTGCCCTTTTGAAAAGCTCTGAAGGACACCTGTGAAGAGCCCAGCCCATAAGAACGTGCCGCGCCTCTATAACTCATTTCTTCCATCATGCCCGGGACACGTTTTGCACAACGATCGCCGTCGTCGTTTTTCATGCTATATCAGCTGGTCGGCCATCGTCCGAATGCCCCATTAGTTTATGACAAATCGAGACCTCTCAACGCCCATGAGTTCAGCATTCGTTGCGCTCATTTATAGCGCCACCCTCCTACCACTCTCATTATCATGACCAAGTCCCGAAGGCTACTGTGAGTGGCGCTGTTCTGATAGTCGGCAGCTTGTTATATAGCACATTCTCTATGGCTGCACATTCTTTACAATCTTTTTTTTTACTTGCAGAGCTCGAATGGAGACGATGGAGCGTCAGCTGGCGGGTCTGTCGAGTCTCGTTCATTCGGCATTAGTGAGCAAAGGAATGAGCGAAAGCAGTCGTAGGGACATGGCCGATCTTCGAAGAGAAGTATCTTCATCATTCCAGCCGAATCTGATTGTTCCTCGGAGCAAATCCTCTTTCCAGATCCTCGCACTCCATCCTGACGCCGAACGAGCCGCCTCAGAAGAACCGCCTTCATTACCAGATAGTCTCTCATCACATACCCAGCATCAACTTGACCATCTTCGCCAGAAGCTGCAGCAGGCTGGTACTGACATGAAGCAGCTGAGACGAATCGCTCAGGTGTGCCTTCACGTATTCCCATCAGAGTTGAGAGTATTCTTGTATTACATTCAGGTGAACGCACAGAATGCTCGCAAATACATCAGTGAAGCTGCCGAGGAAATAACCCGACTGGTTTCTCAAAAAATGATGGTTCCTCTCTCAAATACCGTATACGTCAGTTTTTCTTGTCTTTCTAGAAGAGAATGCGAAGTATAGCGTGATTTCAGCCGAACGGCGACGGCCCTTCAGTACAAAAACAGGCCGAAATTAAAGAGAGAAAAAGCCACGAAGATCGATTGATTCGACTGCTCGAAGGCCTCACGTGAGTTGGTGCGATTTGAGCGAACCTGACGCTCGAAAAAATTATTATTGGTTGTTCTAGAAGGTTCGAGAACAATGTGGAAAGCGTAAGAAGCAGTGTCCTTACAAGCAATCGAAAACTGCGAATGTCTGAAGTCGAATCGTTGACCGAAGGACTTACCCAAATCGGTCGCGAAGCCGCCGCCCTAAAAAGTTAGTGGCACTATCATTTAGTTGCAGCTTCTTTGAATATATTATCTTGTGGGGACTCAGAAGGAATATGGAGTCCTAGAGGTCTGTAGAAACCCGTATAAGACCTCCATACTCAGCGTTCGTTTTTTGACGTCTTCATGACTTTGCTGGATAGAAAAGAACAGCACAGGTTCGACCATTCCCCTTAAGCGCCCCACATTCGGTCTCTGAAACTGGATTATTGGGGTAATTGAACTTGACTCGTGCACTGTAGGAATATGTCGATGTTCACCCACTGTTTCTGTCCCTTCAAAGGCAGTGGAAGCGATGGCTGGGGGTGGGCGGTTGCTGCCAATGCCAGTGGTGGAAGCGCGTGTGGGGTGTGACCAACGCCCTTTGGCAGCCCTCCAACCAGTGACATTGGCAGCAATGTCCCGCCCCAGCCATCGTGCCCATTGTCTCAAGCCAGTTCTTGCTACTTTCCATAGGCTCCGAAGAGATGGAGGCCTGCCTAGTATGGGCACGATTAGACCCCACTAGAAGGATGTACATCTGTTCGCTGCACCACCACTGCATAAAGGCAGCTTCTGTAAACACACGGAAGTTTCATGAAACATAACAGACACTGAAGGGAAACTTTCTGTAACATTCGGCAATATTTTTTCTCAGTTTAAATTTTATCTTAATACACAATTGATGTGACTCTAATTAACGACACATCGGCGACTACAACGTGGGTAGAATCCTGCTGCGCCCCGCTCCCTTCCCCATGAGTAGGATCACAGTCGTATTGGATGTACCGCTAGGCAGACTCAGAGATGGCTTCCACGAAGAGCTAGGCGCTCGTGACTCGAATAAACCGCACCCTCTTCTGTCTGGCTCCGCCCATAATAGTGAATGTCCGTTCCTTTTGCTTGTGCGACTGCTAGCGGGTGTCAGATTTATCGCCGCTTTGCGGAGCGTCCTCCCTGCGTCCCTCTTGCGCACAATGTCAAACTTAACCGTGCCTCCTTCAGGGCTTTTTCTTTCGCGCGCCTAGTGGGACAACGGATCGAACCACGGTCTGTTCATGATTCAACCTTCCAAGTTTATTCTATAATTTATTGAGCCGAACTAAAGATAGAAAGTAGCATATGGCCCGTTTTCTCCGTTGCCTGGATGAGAGTCAGCACCTTCTGTATGCCATAGTTCTAGAGAAGTAATGAAAAATTTTCTTCATGCTGGTCTAAACTTCTGAAAAAGATTAAAGTACTCCCTTCCCACACAGCATTTCCTTTGGTCATTGTTCAGGAATTTCTAGTGGAAGTGTAGTGCAAGGCGAGGTTGCTTTGTCAATAAACTTATGCTTTTCCTCTATTTCTACTTACATCGCGTAAAGACTCTCATGCGTCTCACTTCGTATTCATTACACCTCGGGCCTGAACACATACTTCGTAGTGTGATTCTGGAACCACTAAGCGCTTCAACGAAAGAGATTAGGATCCTTTCTGAAATCGATGCTATTTAATCGTTAGTTTGCTTCGCAATACATCAGTTGTGAAAGGTTTCCGATTGACATCAAATCTTTTCTGAACGGTCGTGACAACGGCCATAATCTATTATGGTTATAGCCTGTCATCAACCTCTTAATGCCCGTTTCCTTCCGCTTTTCCAGTTTGTTTCTCAAACTTCCTCCTCAAAGGAGACCTCCATCGCTCCTCGATGCGTCGAGTGCAAAATAAACAGGATAGTGGATTTTGGGTGATAGGAGGACCGCAGGTCGATGAAATTTTTGTTTCGAGAATTCAGAAGCATTGTGGTCCTCACGCATCTATTTTCACGTTTTACCTCATACTCACGCCTCTTTGGAAACCGCCACTTTAGACACGACTCCGATGTTTCTGACCACTTCCTCCACTTACTTTCCGTTCACCACAGAAAATCAGATCCTCCTAGGACATGTACTCTACCAACATATTCCAACTTCCTGCGATTACCACTCGTTGGCAGAGCGGTCCACTTACGTAAAATAGAATTGGCTCATTGTCTCGCCTGAAAAAAGAAGGCGACAAAGTCGTATAAAACGCCCCAGTGCACTTGGTTTTCAACATTAGTCGCGAGTCTAAAGAAGGGGAATGGCCGGAAGCGAGAAGACACGAAGCGAAGGAGAGAAGGAGCAAAGACAAAGGATAAGAGAGCAAGAACCAGAGATATCTGCCTGGCTCCACACATATGGAATCAACGTCTCTGGATGGAGCGAACATCGATTTCGCCATGACACCACATGTACTTTTGTTAAAGTGGTTTTTTCAGTGGTTCCAAAATCGACTGGTGGGAGGGATACCATGGTGAACCATAGCCCAGCGTCTTTCTTATTCAAACTACGAATATAGTGTGGACTACGGCTACGGGCTACTTCGTACAAGTAATCGCCAAAGTGTGCCTTTCACAGCCACAATCACTTGGTATTCAGTACATGGTGGTGGCAAGGGCGCTAAATACTTCTAAAAAACTGACCGCAAAAATTGGAGGCCGAACGCGTCAAAACCTGTTTGTGAAAAATTTCGTTTTGCCAGGCTATGACGAATTTGATACCATCTTCGGTATTAGAAGAAACCGCATGTAATATTAGGTCTGTTCGCTGCGAATAATGGGGCGTGTCCGCACAACAGCGTTTGGCGAGCGACCAAATATATTCCCCACCACCTGCTGAAGCTAGTAAGTGACAACAGTTGGTCGAAAACTGCTGATAAGAACGATAATGCCACTCGTTGTCGCTTGCCGAAAGAAAAAAAAAACGGGTTCGCGTCACGCCAAACGCAGCCACGTTGACATCCCCATGATCCGCAGCGAACAACAACCGTACACTCATACATGCATTCAGCACAGCAAACGCTCAATCGTATTTTACTTAATACATGAATCAGTATGCAATTATTCTCTTGAATGTGGTGGTGGAAATGACGATCAGAATTTAATAAAGTAACTAAGTGTAACTCATAGCGCCTTGAAAATCAAGGAAGAAAAGTTGCGTTCATACTTTGCGGCAGCGTTAAGTAGCTGCCATTAGCGTCAACCAGCCTTCCGAGCACCCTGCAGCGTCAGCGACTAGGAAGTATAGATATGTAAATCTATCGTCTGCCAGCGTCTACCAGCGTCCAGCAGCAGACTGCTGGTAGAGAGTATGAAGCGAGGAAAAGTACCACATGTCTACTACTCTCTGCCACCAGTCTGCATCCCTCCTATATCCCACTCTACCAGCTGTCTGCTATGCCCTATGGCCCCATACTCTCCACACTCGGACGACCTGCCGGTGACGGTAGATGGCTGGCAGAGACGCCTGGTGGACGTTAGATGATACCTACACTTTCCTTGTTCCCTTTCGCGAAGACACTGCTGGTCGATGGTGGACGCTGGCAACGTAATCGACTCTCCAGTCGCTAACACTGCTGGCACCGCCTCCTGGAAGCTGCAGTGGACGCTATTGGGGGCTGTCTGACGCTGCCCACAAGTCGAAATGAACGCAGTGCCGAACAGCTTAATGTGGAGGACAAGGCAGGCCGGGTTAGCGCGCTCCTTGCTTCGACGTTCATGGTCTAAAAGGTTTTCTCGCGACATCGACGCGATGCTGCACTCCGGTACCAACTCATTCAGGTGACTTCCATATTTGGTAACCATTTCTACCGCACAAGCATAATAAGTTTTATCGCGTCTTGAGTATGTAGCTGGGGGAGAGCTGATGGTGAGCAGTTGTGGTCCGACCATCAAAATGTAGGGCGCTTTTGGTCTGTGTTGCTGGCTGACACTTGATTGCTTCCTAAACTTCGCATTCTCGTAGCTTCATAAAATTTCATTCTCATTCTGCCTTCCTGCATCAAGCAATCTGTAATCTGACCTGATCTTGTCACTTCCGAAACCCGGGCTACCTTACAGAACGATACATTAACTAAACTAGGCTGAACACTTAAACCTGGCGAGGGACAATACCTTAGAGAGATGTTCTATAACTGTCGAGTAGAATTTTCTTGCTAATGGATGATACCAGTTGACTTAACCTACTGTTGACTAGGCGTTTGCAATTTGCTTTTGATTTCGGTACTTCTGCCCATTGCAGCTGAGTTCCCATCAATTCAATCGGGGAATAGAGGCACAAATCAAGGCCGACATGGAACGAATCGTCCGCGACGAGAAATACATTCGCGATCAAACTGCAGCTGTCGATCAGAGTTTGAGGAGGTAAAGGCTCTGCTATTCATTTTCTTCAATGATGCCCAAACAAAAGATTCAGATGCAAAGCGCTGGCTAACATCATGGTGACGATGAAGAAACTTGCAATGGTACAAGACCCCACAATTCATCGAACTAAGAAGGTACGCAACCACAAGGTTCGGAATGCGTAAAAATGAAGTAAATGAATTTTTCAGGAGGCCGACACATCCTCTCCGGCAACCTCGAATTCTATACAGGCCCCAGTGCCTGCACCCCCTCCTCCACCGCCACCTCCACCACCGAAACCGGATCATCCGCCATCGAATTCATCGAATGCTAACTCGCAAGGAAACCAGAACCACGATACCAAGGATTCTTCTGCTCACTCTCAACAAGTGAATGGCTTCCATCAGCTGAACAACAACCTGGAAATCGCTGCGCCCTTCACTCCGAACATCTCTCGGAAGACGCCTGAGCAGCTTCCGCCTGTTCAGCAGCCTTCCAATGAACCATCGCCTGCTGCCGAACTTGATGTCGTCTTAGAAGAGGTACAGAGTTCTTCTGAATCCACCACTAGTGATCTTCCTAATCAATAGCGGTAGCCTGCTCCTAATTCCTTCATAATAAGGCCTCAGCGGTAGTGCAGAGTAGCAGAATCAAGGTTAGGCATACGTCTAGAACTGCTCGACGGAGGTGATGCTTCGCCGCTCGAGGGAGAGGCAGATGAGGGAAACGGTTATTATAGAGTAAAAGAAGTTCTTCTTGGCATCATGCTTGGCTCTGACTTAGATTTCCTTAAGCGGACATGCACTTTTTTACAGGTTTGATTGCCAGGCGGGAGGTCACCCAGATTACAGTGCTGGTTCTCCCATTCTTTTCTCAAGAAATATTTTATAACTACATTTTGTGATGCAGTTGTGGTCAAAATGCATACCGCTTTTGTGTTAACCGACAGTTTAAAATTCAAGTGACCACATGGTCCCGTTGTTTTGTTCAAAAAAAGTGTTAGCTTCGCAACAACGTGTACTCTCGGGTGTACCAGGTGATTCAAAAGTTATGCAAATAGTGTACTTTTCGTTCGTGTTTCTATCATGCGTTATCAAATCTTTCATGATTGCGTGAAAAGTTTCAGCTGGATCCGTTCAGCAGTTCATCTGTATATTCGTCGCCCCTCTGGTCATCAAAGTCAGTGAGGCGATGATCCAGAATCATTGGTGGAGGTGCGAGAGAGCGTTTGGCCACATCCCCCTCCGCCCTTCCAGCAGTGACGTAGGCAACAAGCGCTCCGCCTTCAGTCATCGTGCCCACAGCTTTTGAAGTGTTTGAAGTGCTCGTCGCGGGGGCAGTAACAACGCCCACATTCGTCCCTCTTGCGGCCGGAGTGGTCTCGTGGATTTTCCTGTGTAGTTCGAGGAACACCGAAACTTTCATTCATTTCATGAGGAAGTCTGGCTGTAGGGTGGACTTCGTCCCGGCGCGCGTTCGAAGTACCATCGTTCGCGTCGGTGGTGCGCACTTAGTCCAACGACATTATAGTCCAACGATTATAAACTATAACTTTCTGTGAACATATCCCCACTCAGTCTTTGAGCTCTTCCACAAATACAGCCAATGTCCCTGCAGTGTTTTCGGACCTCTCCACTTGAAAAATCGAAACACGGATTCCCATTTTGCGTCCAGCATATAATTTATTCGCGTAAATAGGAGCAGTTCTTTCCAGGCGCTAGAAAACGCTGATCGTGTGGCTCAGTCCTGCCCGCGCGTCAGCCCACAGATTAAAATCTTCAAGGCGCAATTCGCTGGCAAATGTCGACTTGTGCACGTTTCAACAGTAACCGGTTGGTGATCAAATTTCCCTATCCCATGGCGACACGCGCCAGTCTCGTGAGGTGTAAGCGTTTCAGGAAGATTTTTTATACTTTACCCATAGAACAGAGAGAGCAGAGGAGAGAATGACCTCTCTCGAACGCTGCGGTAGGCCATTGAGATATCGGATAAAAAATCCATCATCAATGAGCAGTAGTTGGGTTAAGCTATTGAAGTAACCCACTTGAGTCGCCCCTGGAACCATCTACAGTCGCACAGGATCTGGCCTTGGTGGACATGAATGTTTCGCAGCACGAAACAACCCAGCTTTTCCTTGGTATTTCGGGAAAAACCTTTTATACTAGCCTGCGTCTGTGCAAGCCGTACCGCACATGTGAGGAGCTCTCGAAACGTTCAATCGGTTCGCGAGGAAAAGTCGGATAGCGCACTGCAACGGGGAATCCTCGATAATGATGGACGGCCCTATGCAATCTTGGTTATAAGCCAACCTTATTGGAATCTGAGACGAAGTTGAGCGAAAACCATCTAATCGATCACTCAACATAAAGATCACACCTGGTCCTAGTAACTTTTTCTAGTCCAGCACTTGAGCCAGCTCGAAGGACGAGGTTCAGCGACAACGACGCCAGCCTATTTTGGTTATTTTTCCAACGGTTGGAAAACTTCTGGTCTCCACTGTGAAAAGTGCATTGAGATTCAGCAATGCTGTAAATAATGTAATAAAGTTTCGTCATTCAGTGTTTTCGGAAGTATGCTCACCGCATTACTTTTGGATCACCTTGTACTCCAGTTCTTTTGGCTGGCAAGCATTTATACTAACTAGTCTCCGACGGTTTTACCAGAACTCTTCTCCCGCTCCCCACTAGAATACATCTATCATTTTTGAAATGAAATCGTTGATGTCTAGAACCCTTACCCAGACATTTTCACAGAGCCCGCACTGTATGTTTATCAGTATAATACTACTTATGCTCACAGATTGTCCAGAGCAGAATCTTCCAAGTGATTGATGTAAGAACGAACGAAACGTGCAATATTTCATGAAACTTTCCACAGCTCCGTCTCAACGGATGATTTCAAACATTCTTTGTGGGATCCTTGGAAGGGATCTGTTTCGAGCAGATGATTTGTCAGCGGGGTTTTTTATTCCAGCACAGTCATTGAGTGGTGAGAAGCTCCTGCAAGCTAGGCGTCGCTCTCAGGAATTCCTTGCCCAGATACTGTAGCCTAAAGTTGAACTTGAGGAACCAAAGCACGAGTAGAAATATCTCCATTGTCCTCTGCAACATTCCAAACGACGCCAAGCTCCTGCTCAATTTCCGACCTTCAACAGTCATTACAGAGACCCTGTGGGAATTCCCTCAGACTTCGAAACAGGAATGAAATGAAAGTTGATTGCAGATGTCCCCATCTGGAATTCCACCTCGACCACCGAGTCGCTACTCAGTGCAAGATGTCCGAATGAAGTTCCAAAAACCTCCAGAACTTCCAGAACAAATCAAAAATCTCATGGAAGAAGTCGCACGGCGAGGTTCTCCGGCACCTGAAGCTAGTGAACGAAGGTGAACTAATGTTTCTCCCTTAATCGAGCACCTTTCCGTAAACAAAAAGAAGCCTGTTTACCACCGAAGACTCATTTTGCTAAATGATTTCTTTTAGATTAGAATTGGAGGAACGACAAGAACGTCTAGCTGAGAAACAGCGTCAGCTGCTATCACAATTCCAGCAACTCCAACAAATGACACCGTTACCATGAAGCTCAATTTTTTTGTCCTTCCAGTCCTTCGCTCTTTTTCTTAGCATGTTTGACACATTCATCCCATGGTTATTGACTATTACTGATGTTGACACAAAGAAAATCTTTAGCAGTAGCTTTTGCTTCACTTTTGAAACGTCGCAGGAGACTTAAAGCTAAGCCTGCCCCACTGTCATCAGCACCTACACTGCTTCTCCAACCGGTGCTGCCCTATTCGCCGGTCATTCTCAACTTTTTCCCCCACAATGAGCATTTTACGACTGTGTTGTTCGATATGAAGGAAAATTAACAAAAAGAATTGAATTATAATTAATTTATAATGAATTCTACATTAGCACTACCTAAGATAAAAACATTGCATCAACATAACAAGTAACGAATATTGGCCTCAAATCAAGTCGATACACTAGGTATACATCACAATTCAGCTAAACCTACAGACAGACGGGATCAGAGGCCTCGCGGAGTACCCTGAGTGATTATATCATCAAGATCCTTGAGCGTTCTTTCAAACTCGTCGAGTTCTTTTTGAAGTTGATTCTTCTTGAACACCGAGTAGTAGTTAACACCTGCATAACACTTATTTGAAATGCATAGAAACGGAAAGGTTCGAAGAGTGCTACTGCTACCATCATATCGAAAGGGGGCATTAAATATTGTACAGAAAAATTCCGTATGGTCATTTGAAAGTAGTAAGCGAGGTAGATGACACTAGGGCTGCGCTCATACTCTGCCGTAGCGTCCACTAGCGACTACCACCGTTTCGAGCGTCTTCAGCGCCAGCAACTAGGAAAGTATGGCTATCGATCTAGTGAACGGCAGCGTCTACTAGCGTCCGCCAGCGTCCAGGAGTGGAGAGTATGGGGAAGTAGGAGGGTAGCAGAGAGCTGGATTAGGAGTCAAGAAATCGCGGCGTGTGCATCCGCGCCGTACTACTACACAATACCTCTCATCAAATTGCATAATTCTGTGCTTTAGCAGTTGTGCAGTGCGGTTGCAAATGCCGCGATTCACCACGCCTAGTCCAGCTTTCTGCTCCCTCCCACTTCTCACTCTCTGCTGGACGATGGCGTTCGCTATAGACTATATTCATTACCTTCGCTTAGTCGTGTGGGCGCTGGTAGACGCTCGTTCGCTAAACTTTAGCCCAGAGTCGATATCCATACTTCTCTTGTCGCTAAGTCTGACTGGTTGCTGGTGATCGCTGGTGGATGCTACCGCAGAGTATGAACGCAGCCTAACTCTAGAGTTGACGGCAGAAGGAGAACAAATGATAATAGGTGAAGCGATTAAAGGCACAGCCCACTTTTGCAGCTTATAATACCTTGGTAGCAGCGCCAGTGCCTTGCCACGCGTCATCTTTCCACTACTTAGGTTATGATTTCCGTCCTTACCGCACCGTTCCACTATCGCTTTGTAGCGGAAGAAGCTTCACCATTAGCATAGCCCCTCGCCACGGAACTGTTTTATTTCTCTACGCTCAGTGTCTTGCCATATATGCTTGAAACTAACAGGGACCCTATTTGGGGCGTTTCCGACAGTCTTTTCCTATTTCCCTCCATTATATAGTAAATCAGCACCAACACATTCGTCGTTTAGCTGCTCAGATGATAACCGTGGGTTCTGCCACCACACACATTTCGCGACTGCAATTCGTGGGCTGCGACTCTTAAAATGTGTTTATGGATGTTAAATGACTTACCGATGAAAACAAAAGCGGGCAGATCGCCGGAAACGCCTTGAACGACCTTTCATGGAAGCGAGACACTGCTGTGCGAGAGAGAGACAACAAGGACAAAGGGTGAGAAGCGGGAAGAGAAGCGTGATGACAAAGTTAAGCTAGGACCACTCCATGTATTGTCTCATTGGAGTGGAACAGCTTCTAAGTATGGCGTTCCGTCGATTCACGGTAACCCCAGCGTAACTCACTGTGAAACCGTGACAGTGGTGCAAGCTCCAGAACTGCGGACGGATCTAGCTGAACAAGGAATGTTGTCCATCGGGTAATCGTAG